GGGGGAGAGAAATGGGAGGCTGGGAGGAGGCGGAAACTTTTTTTTCCCTATTCTCAATAAAAAAAAAAAGAAATGATATCCTAAGTCCAAGGGGAAGTTACTTTATAGAGGCTATGCATTTTAATTGGATTTATTTTTTATAACGTGTGACACAAAAGGTTAATATTAAGAACGGAATTCCTTGGAGAATTCACTAATGATTAGTTTTACTTTACAAATTATTTGGCCATACTGTGTTCTCTCCCAGGGGCTACTTAGAGATGAAATTCAAACATAAGAATGCAAAAAAGTAATATCACTTAATGTGTAATAAAATATCCATATTTAAATGTTATTGGAGGCATAAATGAAACCATTATTTTATGTAAAAAAAAAAAAGATCCTGGATAAGGGCTTCTAGGCGTGTCCTCCGGAGCCGGGCTTCAGCATCAGCGGGAGTCCCGCCCTAGACTGCTTGCTGAGCTGAAGCTCGCTCTCTGTGTTTGACAAGGCCTTCATGGTAGTTCAGTGCTGCCCACAGTTTGCGAACCACCAAATTCGGCAAGCGTGGGTGAAAAGTCAGAGTTTCAACCCTGTGACAATAAACAGCTGCAGGGATTGCTCTTCTCTGCAAAGCAGCTGTGATTGGGCGACAATGCTTACCCAATCAAATTCATCTTCGCTTCCCGCATCTAACTAATGAGGGTCCCTCAACATCTGGAGCCGAAGACCCCAGAAGGAGGGTTTTTGACCTTGGTTACAGGTGGGGTGACTGACATCTTGGAATCAGATGCAAAACGACAGCTCCACCTGCACTCCTCGAGCCCCCCCCCCCCCCCCCCCCCCCCCCCCCCCCCCCCCCCCCCCCCCCCNCCCCCCCCCCCCCCCCCCCCCCCCCCCCCCCGGTCTATTATCACGCTGTCGGATTCTCCCTGTGTTGCTGGGACCACTCAGCTTGAAGATGAAGCAGCAGCCAGTTAGCTCCTCTCCATGGTGGGCTCTTCTGGCAGTTTCACAGCCTCAGAGACCAGGAAGGGGAAATGAAAGGAACGAGGAGCCAGCTACCCTGAAGAAGCGCTGACAAAATGGTTAACTGAGAGGAGATGTCCCTGCAGGCCCTCCCACGACATCCTGCAGGAGGGGATGGGGTCAAACTGCCTTTCTCCCAGTTCCCCATACATGACCAAGTGTGTGATCCACATGACTCACTACCCCCTTCCCCACTGTGGCAAACAGCATTGTGTGTGTGTGTGTGTGTGTGTGTGTGTGTGTGTGTGTGTGTTAGTGCTGGGAATTGAACCCAGGACCTGTGCATGCTAGGCAAGAATGCTACCATTGACCTAGATTCCTAGCCCCACAGGCAACTCTTATATTGAGGCTGGTCACAAGCTACAACGATATTCCATTTGTCTATATTCCTTACATTTTTATGTCCGCAGGCCCAGAGAAGGAGCTAGTGGGACGATGGTGATACCTAATGTTTATAAAATAAATCAATGATTATTACAGATATTGGCCTCCATGCCTTACAACCCAAGCCATCACAGTTCAAATGTGCCTTCTTTCTCTCATACCTTATAGCAGACCCAGGATCGCTGCAAATTTCAGGTTTCCCGAGGTCACCATCTCACAGTGACCTCTGCTTCTGCCTCACTCTACAGCCTCTCTCCTTGAGTTAATCCCCATCCCCGTTTCCACAAGGAAAACCCATCCCTATAACCACCCTGAACTTCTTAGAGGACTTGTGGGTCCTAAGATGGCCACCAGACCCTTTCCCAGTCTAGTTCCTCCCCCAAGTCAAATGCCCTCCCCTCAGCCCCTCCCAATGAAGATGCTTTTAAAAAGCCACATCCCGCAATTTCTTCTTAGGGTGAAATAAGAGGGTGACTTAAAGTCCCCAGTTTGCTCAGGCAAGGGATTTTCTGGACGCTGCCTTGTCAAAGGTCTGCTATAGGTCTTGGCCAAACCCAGGTGTTAAGAATTAAATGTTCGTCCATTCAAGCATACCAACCCTAATAATTATGAATTATTAATAACCCTATGAGTTAGTTGCAGGTATTCAGGCCTTAGTAACTGTCATTGTCCCCTCAGGTGTAGTTGGAACACAGGCTTAGGATTTAGAGGCCTTAATTTGCTTTTAAAACCTGTTGTAGGTAATCACGTGCATCTTGCCTGGCCCTCTGAGAACAGTGTATTAGCAAATCCATGGGACACACACAGGGAGGGCACTTGCTTGCGTTGTAGCGTACTTCCTGTAAGCCAGGCAGGGGCCCCTTCAGCACCCACCTTCCTTTGCTGATGACCATCCTGTGAACTAGGTGAGACAGTGTTTTATAGGAAAAGAAACTGAGGCTAGGGACAGGCAGGAATGGCTGGGCCCAGACATGCATCCAGTTTTGCTCCTGAGGCCTGTCTCTGTTCGCTACCACCCTGAGGACCGAGCTAGCCCAGGCTATCTCCCTATACCCATTTCAGTCTTACCCACGCTTGAGGGGACACTTTCAACGCCTATCACACTTCCTCGCTTTCTTTCAAGGGAGCTCAAAGTAGCCCAACTTCCCCCTGAGTGACTCATCATAGCTCCAGTGACAGTCATTTTCCAGAGTGTCTGCTCCGGACCTCCACCCAGGGCAGCCCTCACCATGGCCTTGGACACTACCGCCTCCAGTTCTGTCTCTCTTTCTGCCCTTCCCAGTGAGACTGCCCAGGTCAAGAAGCCCCAGTGGACAGTACATCGGGTGAGGTCCAGGGGGTCTTGGACACGTTCCAGGACTCTGGCCTTCTGCCTAGAGAACCACCCACAGCCAAGAGCCCTAGCGGCTGTCCGTCACCCTGTCTGGGTGGGCGTGGTTAGAATACAGACGGGATTTTGCGGCTTCTCGTTTTTGTTTTGTCTTTCACAGGGTTTCTTTGTGTCACTGCCCTGCAACTTGCTTTGTTGGTCAGGCTGGCCTCAGGCTCACAAGAGATCCACCTGCCTCGGCCTCCAAGGTGTTAGGATTAAAGTTATGAGACTTATCAGCTTTAATTTGCTTTTTAAACAGGTTTCAGGTAAGGCTGTGTCTGGGCCCTCTGAGAACCTCAGATTAGCAAATCCCTGGGACCTGTGCTGGCTTTGACCCTAGTCTCCCCAGCTCGTAGCGACCCAAGGTTGCTGCAAATTTCAAGAACTGTCCCAAGGTCACGATCTCACAGTGACCTCTGCACCTGCCTCTATCCCACAGCCCCTCCCCTCAAGTTAACTTCCGCCTCAGTTTCCCTAAAGAAAACCCACCCTCATAATCACCCTGAATTTTTTGCTGAGTACTTGTAGGCCCTAAGATGACCTCCCAGTTGACCTTTGCCCACAACACGCTTGGCTCTGCTCCTTTGCTGTAGAGATGCAGGGCCCTGTGACTATCATATAATAGAGCAATTCCTGTTTCCACTCAGCCCAGACTTTTGGTTCCCTCTGTGGCTGGCATTGCTGAGTCTCCGGTGTTGCCAGTGCTAGGAGCATATGGTGTGGTGGCCAGTGCACCTAGGTCTAGCTTGTCTGTGCTGCTATCTGGTGACCTGAGCCAGGTGGTCCAACCTCCCTGTGTCTCAGCTTAGCTGTCAAAATTTAACTGGATGGATCATAAGGAAGTCTCTTAAGTCTACGAGGCTATTGTTTTAGGTTTCAATTTTGTGTGTGTTTTCAGAATTATGACTGAAGCACGGACATTCTAAACGCCAGCCAGGACCCCAGGATGAAATGAATATACGCCCCCTAGGCCCCAAAGCAGCCTTTTATTGCCCTCTCTGGTGTGGATCCTGGGGCTCAGCTCCCGCCATCTCTCCTTGCAAAGTAGATTCAGAGGCGTGCCCATGACCTTGGGTTAAGTGGCTTGCTGGAGGCAGAGCTTCTTGTTTGCTGAGGTAACTTCTTTAAAAGAAAGAGGGGGCAGGTGCTCGCTCTCTTGAATGACGGATCTCTGGAGTGGAGGTCAGACTGCTGGTTCCACTCACCCCGGGGGCAGAGAAGAAGACCTCGATTATTCTACCTTGTTGTTATTCGTGAGTGTTCCCCAACACATCTTTGATACCCTTTTATTCAGGCTTTTGTGGATTCACATACCTACCTGGATGCCTGCAGCCCCAAGCAGGAGGATCGTGTGTTTGAGAGAAGCCTGGACTACACAACAAGCTTCAGGTCAACCCAGAATATAAGGTAAGACACCATCAAACAAACAAACAAATTAAGGCCAGGGAAATGTTTCAGTGGATAAAGTATTCACTTAAGTATGAGTCCCCAAGATTGGATCCTTAGTACCCATGTAAAACGTGGGGAGGGAGGTGTTGTTGTGACAATCTGCTGAGTCAATTAGCCACCCTCTTGGGAAGTTCAGCTACACCCTCTTGCAAAAGGACTATCTTTTGCAAGCTGGGCTTGGTAACTGTTTGTACCCCTTCATGGGTGGGTGGGGAGGGCCACAAGATCTCACCGGAGCTGCCTACCACCTGTTGTAGGCAATGCCGCCTTAGTTGCACATGACCTTGGGGAAGGGCCTAGGATTTGCAGGCAGGCAAAGCCCAAGGGGGAAGGCATTCCATCTCTATGGCTACAGCAAGACCTCATCCTTGCCTGGTAAAGACTTCCAATTAGTGTAGGCTGGGTGTGGGGGCACACACAGGAGGCATAGATAGGCAGATCTCTGTGAGTTTGAGGCCAGGCTGCTCTACAGAGTGAGTTCCAAGCAAGCCAGGGTTATATAGTGAGATTCTGTCTCAGATAGAGAGATAGAAAGACAGAGAGAGATAGATAATAGATAGGTAGATAATAGATAGATAC